CTATTTCTTCATGCTTGCTGCCACTCAAACTGAGACCACTATTGTTTCCCTTGTGGTCTATAACAAAAGTCTCCTAGTTTTTCTTCCCATACCTCATTTTACCTTGTCCGACTTCTCCCTACATATAGCCAGAACAATTAATCTTTCTAAAATACATGCACATATTGCTTACAGTGACAAACGCTTGCCTATGGTATAAGATCTGTATTTTACATGCTATGGGAAACTCTCGATGACCCAACCCCTGTATCTTTTTCTCTAAATTCGAAACTCGTACTGTGATGAAATATATAAAATACCACAAACATACAGTGCTCTTGTACCTTGATCGTGGCTCCTGTCATTTCCTGTGCTTGGAATACTGCCTACTTCTCCTGCCTCACTCACCTGATCTTCATGTTCTAGTTTAGATACCTCTTCTCTTAGGCCGGGCGCGGTGGCTCAAGCCTGTAATCCCAGCCCTGTGGGAGGCCGAGGCGGGTGGATCACGAGGTCAAGAGATCGAGACCATCCTGGTCAACATGGTGAAACCCTGTCTCTACTAAAAATACAAAACATTAGCTGGGCATGGTGGTGCGTGCCTGTAATCCCAGTGACTCAGGAGGCTGAGGCAGGAGAATTGCCTGAACCCAGGAGGCGGAGGTTGTGGTGAGCCGAGATCGCGCCATTGCACTCCAGCCTGGGTAACAAGAGCAAAACTCCGTCTCAAAAAAAAATAAAAATAAAAAAAAAATTAAAAAAAATGATACCTCTTCTCTTAGGTAGCCTTCACTCATTATCCAAGACCAAGTCCGTCAGCCACTTATGGTTCTCATTATCATAGTGTCTGATACATCATGCTATAACTGTCAGCTTACCTATTGTCCCTTTCACTACACTGGGAGCAACCTAGGGAGGCTCCTGATCTCATTCTACTTCATAACCCTGTAACCACCATAGGGCCAAGTATACAGAAGTTGTCAAAAAATATTTGTGAAATGACAAAAGGTAGAAAGAACAGACAGAGAAATGGAGGGATAAAGAGATGGAGGGGAAAGGGAAAGAAAGAAAAAGGACAAGATAGGAGGGAAAGAAAAGGAGATAAGAAAAGAGATGAAAAGAGGGAAAGGAAGTAAATAAAAGAAGACCGGAAAAAAGAAATGATGGAAAAAGAGAAAAAAGCCGGAAAGAAGGAAGGGAGAGTGTCTGAAGTTACAGAAAAATGGAGGAATGGGGGACACTCCCATTAGATTTCCAATGGCAATGCCTGGGGAAGCGCCAGACACCACCAGTCCCTTAGTGAGTATCCAACTACATGGAGCTGCAGACAGTCAGGGAGACCTGATGTTAAAAAGAGAGAGAGAGAGAGAGAGAAGGGGAGAGAGAGACACTGAAAAGGACTTCAGAAACAACTGAGTTCAACTTTATTTTATAATGGAAAAAACTGAGCCAAAGACAAGAAATGTGACTTGCTTACTAGAAGACAGTTAATAAGGGTTAAGATGCAAAGACATGCTTGAAAAATCTCAAAACCCAAATTCTCTTCTCCCCATCCGTCTTCTCAGACGCAGATGAATCAATAATGACAAAAGCAGGATGGTAGCTGAGGGCCTCTGGTCACTGATTTAGCGTTGTGTACATCGCAATTCTCTGCACTATTTTTTTTCCTAGCATTTTTACCTAATACAAAGAACTTCATTTGAGGTCGGTAGAGTATGGCAGGCAAAAGGAATTAGGAGCTTTTTCTGCCTCTTGCTTTGTGTTACTCACTTTACTCCCCTAACAAGCCCTGCGCTTTTCTTCACTTTGAGCCTTTGCCACATTGTCGGCTTATCTGAAAGTCTCCTGCTGCCCTTTCTACGTTTTGAAATGCTTTACATTCTTTCAAGCTTTGCTCTAATGCCTTTTCTTTCATAAGACCTGCTTCAGTGTCCCTGATGGGAAATAATTATTGTATATATTCTGCCCCAATGATACTTTGCTTATTTCTTTCTTAAAATATGAATTTATTTATGCGTTTTATTATAGTTTCATGTGTATTTTTGTTTTCTTCTAATTAAATGTAAACTCCTGGAAGGCATGAGCAATTTTTGCTTTATCTTTTTCTTGCCTAGTAGGAGTAGCATAATTCCCTTTACATGACATAATTTTAATATTTTTTATACTGAACTGAGCCATAGAACTCTTCATCCAAAAATAGTAAAAAAAAAAAAAAAAAAAAAAAAAAAAAAAAAAAAAAAAAAAAAAAAGAAAGAAAGAAAGAAAAATATAATACTCCTTATTTAAATTTTCCATTGGTATTCTCTTTTTTTTCCCTAAAAACAAACAAACAGCAACAAAAAACACTTGTATTGCCTTTTGTCCAACAATTGTTTAAAGTGAGCTGTTGTGGTGGTTCACTCCCATAATGCAAGTACTTCGGGAAGCTGAGACAAGAGGATCGCTTGAGGCCTGGAGTTGGAGATCTGCCAAGAACACAAAGTCCTTGTTCTTACAAAAAATTTTAAAAATTAGCCAGTTGTGGGGCATGCACTTGTAGTCCTAGCTACTAGGGAGGCTGAAGTGGGAAGATCACTTGAGCCTAGAAGTTTGAGTCTGCAATGAGATATGATCCCACCAGTACACTCTAGCCTGAGTGCAGAGTGAGACTCTATCTAGAAAAAAATAAAAACATAAAGTAAGTTGTTATCTTGACCAAAGGTGATATATAAATGAGGATGGGGGCAAGAAAAGAGAAGAGTAATTGAGCTGGTGAGTATCAAAACCTTCAAATTTGTGGATAATGTACTATCCTGGCCTGTTGAAGTAGCAATTATTATAAGAGATTCCTGTCTCTTTAAAAATATTAACAGCTTCCAGGAGGTGGTGGCTCATGCCTGTAATCCCAGCACTATGGGAGGCCGAAGTGGGCGGATCACGAGGCCAGGAGTTCGAGACCAGCCTGTCCAACATGGTGAAACCCCTGTCTCTACTAAAAATACAAAATTTAGCCAGGCATGGTGGCGTGTGCCTGTAATCCCAGCTACTCGGGAGGCTGAGGCAGGAGAATCGCTTGAATCCAGGAGGCGGAGGTTGCAGCGAGCCACACCAGCCTGGGCGACCCAGCAACACTCCGTCCCAAGAAAACAAAAACAAAAACAAAACAAAACAAAACAAAAAACGCTGACAACTAAAGGCATTGTTGAAAGGCAAGGGAGCCTGATTTGGTAGAAGGTTCCTCTTTTAATGTGAAGGTTTCTTTGGGAATATGATAGCAATGCATTTTAAGTATGGGAAATAAGAAGGTAATTAAGAAATATTAAGTATTGTTCAAGGTTAGCAAGGATTTACTTGAGGTGTGTAACCTGGACTGCTCATTCTATTCATTTTAACTAGAAGTATTCTTTCGTGGGACAGATGGCAAATTGGTTGGTTATACTAAAATGAGAGAAGAAGGCACTTTATATGCCAAGACTCTCAGCCTCTCTCTCAGCAAGGTTTGACCCTTTCTAAAACTATTTCTTATCAAATGAAGTTAGCAATTATGTCAGCTTAAACAGAAGGACTTTTAAATTGTTTTAGGAAATATTTTAACAATGCCTTTAGATGAGATTTTACATTTTTTGCTCAAGTTCAACATATTTCTGTATTAATCTGTATTAATCACCTACCACTGGCCGTCTAGATAATGGTAAACGTTTAATCTGCACTTTTTAGAACATTTAATCTGCACTTTTCTCTGAGCACTGTTCAAAGGGCATTTATTTCATTCACTGCATGTATTCATGGCCAGATAAAATGCATCACTGGGCTCACTTATAGCAGGCATCCTTTACAGTAGTTCAATTCTATCACAATTTTTGGAAATATAACTTTCTAGCATTAAAGAAGTATTCATAACTCCACTGGTTTTGAAATGCCATATTGAAGTCAGAGGAAAATTAAAAGCAAGAAAAAGTGAACAGCAAACATAATGCACAGAAAAATAGAATGATCATTACTTTCCATTTGGACCTCCAATGTGAGAGTTTAATAAAGAAAATTAGAATAAAAAACAATATAAGCTCATTCGAGTATCTTTCCTAAACTTTATATAGGTGACATGACAGCATTTGCTAGGGTAAATTGTTCCCTTCAGGATGTACATTAAAAAAGCAAATTATTTTGCTCTATACTCTTTTTTTGAACTCTTGAAATACTGTTTCTTTTTCTTACCTGCAATTTCCTAAGCCTCATTAATGAATAGCAGCTAATTCTGAATATTTGATTTTTTACTCAATTCTGCCTCTCTCAGATTCCTATGGTCACAGGTAATGCTTTTTAACTTCAAAATTACTTCTTTCTGAGCTTCTCCAGTGAGAAAAATAAAATCCTTAAAGGTGAACCTACTTACTTATCTCTTGCCTAGTAGTCAGTTCCTGACAGCAACTCATTTTCAAGGGAGAATTTCTTAATTCCATGTCTGTCCCCTGTACACTGGGATGCACTGCAAAGACATTTTCTCCCTCAAAATATTTTCTTTTACTTTGAAATCATTTAGGTAACATTTTTTCTATTGCATGTAGTTGAGTAGGTTTTGCATGCTTTGCATTTTTCTTACTTAATGTTTTAGATTATTAATGCTCCTCAAAAGAGTCTATCACACTATTCTTAATGCTGTCATCAAGAGTAACAAATTTATCTTTGAAAAAGGGTGGTACTGAAAAGTTTTTCAATTTTATATATACAGCAACAGAAGATGTGAATTTCTGGAGGTCTCAGTAGCAGAGATCATTTAATTATCCTTGTGTAAATTCATCCTTAAGAAAAAAAGAGGAACTATTTAGTAACTTCATCTGTTTAATGGGATAACAAGACTTACCTCATAAGTTAACTATGCGAATTAAATGAGCTGATAATGTAAAGACTCAATATATAGTCCATGTTGCCTATTTTTACTATCATTAGTCTTAGTAAACATACTGAATGTTGTATATGGCAGTTGGGATTTAACAAAAATTTGGACTGGCATGAGTCACTAAAAGAAGTTGCTATCTTCTTACCTCCAGAGAGTCATCAGCATTCACCATCCAACAGTCAGTCCAGGTGGCCACAATCAAAAACCCAGTAGAGAAAAAGGCAAAGAAGCAACCAATGTATTGAAGAAGATCCCTCATTGTGGCAAGCAGCCCATCCAGACGGCAACATGGGCAGATGCCAGCCCTGGGCCCACTCAGGTGGCGATTGTCAGTCTTCTGCCTTTCTGGTACCTGTGGATGTGAAAATACTGGTCTTTTACTTTTTCTCACACCCCTCTGCAGGTGTCTTGAGTTGCCGTAAGAATAATACAAACAGGCTGTAACCAATAGTGGGGTCCTGGAGGTCATTATCCCAAGCGACCAGCCTCCAATCAGAAGCCAGGTCAGTGCAAGGGCTGAGTCTGTTTCGGGTGGGGGAGAGAGGGGTTCTGTAACGTTTTCTGACCCAACTGTGGGCTAATGCGAGATGGTGGTCACCAGACCAAGTGCCAGGGCCAAGATGGGGGAAGGAGGAAGGGTCCCACCCCATGCTGGAACCTGTAAGCTGATCTTTCCCAGGCCCTCTAGGGAGAGTGAGCTACTCTCCTCCCCCTCAGAAGAAGGCTACACGGTTGACTGAGTGTTATTTTATTGTTAGGACTATTTTAATATTCGCTGACTACCTTAGACAGACAGGCCACTGGCGAAACTATGCTAAACAAGTGGTTGCTCAAGGGAGTTTGCATTCCAAAGTGTTGCACAGAACAGCCCCATGAAGGATTTGTAGCACCTGGGCAGTAGGGACAGCCAAGGCTCCTAACCTTTCAGCACCGTAGAATGGGAACAAATGTGCATTTTAATGCAGACAGCTCTGGATGGAAACCCTTGCCCTAAATTTATGGTCTGAGAGCACTTAGGCTGTAGTTTCTGAAAATGCAGGTATTATTATCTTCTTTATATGATATTTGCTCTTCATGTGAGTAATAAATGATATTGTGCCTGTAAGTCACTTAGAATCGTGTCTATCAACAATAGCTAAATGGAAAATATGAACGTGACTAAGAATTTCCTATATTATTACTTTTCTCTCATGGACCAATGTTTGAAAATGTGTCTAATAAAGAAAAAAAAAAAACCTGTTAGGAAGAAAGTTTGTTTCTTTCTTAAAAAAAAAGTTTTTAATATAACAGGGCAACTGGAATTTTACCTGTATCTGAATAGATATCCTTAATGAGTCTAAAAATTCCATAACCGATACTCTTTAATATGCTTTTAAAAGCACATATATCAGCATTTTATCTTCATCAGGTAGATGTCTGTATACTAAAATAAAAGTTTTGAATTAGAATAGTAAAAACTTATTATTATCAATGCAGGAAATAATGTGAATGGGGAGACAGGGTGAGAGAAAGAAATTGGGAGAGGGAGAAAGAAAGGAGTAAAGAAAAGGCCAGAAATAGTTAATTACTCTGGAATGAATCAGTTACTAAGATATTTAATTTACTAATAGTTCATAAAGAATTACTTTTTTTCCACTTGAAAATTATTTGATTGCAAAATAGAGTATAAAAGGCTAAAATCGGTATTGATAAAACTTTTTTGAAAATATATTACAATGATAAACTTTTGTGACTAAACTTTGTTTTTCTAATTTTAATTCATTGTATTCAAGTATATAAATGTAAGTTTAAATGCAAAAGCTGGAAAACCATAGGTGGAATGTAAGCTTAATTATTTCTATATGGAGAGTCTACAGTACCATCCCTGCAATCTAAAAAACAAGTTTCTTTTTGAGGTTTCAGTTACCGGTGGTTAATCATGGTCTCCAAATATTACATGGAAAATTTCATAGATAAGAGATTCATCAGTTGTAAATTGAGCACTGTTCTGAATAGCGTGATGCAATCTCAAGCCATCCCACTCCGTGTGGGACATGAATCATCCCTTTGTCCAGCATTTCCACAGTGTATACACTACCCACCCCTTAGTCATTTAGTAGCTGCCTCAGTGATCAGATCTACTGTTGTGTATGGCGTGTGTAGGGTCCAGTACTGTCCTCCATTTCTGACATCCACTGAGAGTCTTTGAACATATCCCTCAAGGAGAAGGGGGGATTACTGTACACATTAGCAATTGTTATAGCTAGTTTATGAGGTACATTACAGATGCTTTTTTTTTTTTTTTTTTTTGAGATGGGAGTCTCGCACTGTCGCCCAGGCTGGAGTGCAATGGCACGATCTTGGCTCACTGCAACCTCCACTTACCAGGTTCATACAATTCTCCTGCCTCAGCCTCTGAGTAGCTGAGATTATAGGCGCACACCACCACACCTGGCTAATTTTTTGTATTTTTAGTAGAGACGGGATTTCACTATGTTGGCCAGACTGGTCTCGAACTCCTGACCTCGTGATCCACCCTCCTCAGCCTCCCAAAGTTCTGGGATTACAGGCGTGAGCCACTGCGCCCTACCACAGATGCTTTTTATTTGACTTATTTTATTTAACAATTGGAAAAAATAATACCTGTTTTTTAAGTACTCATTCAAAGAATATCATTGCCCATGGAATGCACACACCTACACATGCTGCTTTGTTGAGTCACAGGAGAATCTTTCCCTGTGCCCTAAAATTTAAAATGCTATAGAGATTTACTCTATTGATCTGGGAGAGCAAACCAATTCCAAAAGCAGATGTCCTTTACAGGAAAAGTCCTGGGCTTCTTGATAGCTTTTCATGCAGGGACTTTTCACAATGTACTTTACCTACTAACAGGGCACTCCAAGGCAGTAGTTCTTCAACCTGAGTGTGCACTGGAATCTCTAAGGCCACTTGTTATAAAGGCAGACCCAGGAATTCCACTCCCAGAGATCTAGATTCAAGAAATTGGGAGTGGAAGCTAGGAATTCATATTTTACATGTGTTCTGTGTAATATTCTGATTTTGAAACAGATGACCATGTTTGAGAGATGAGTTTAGAACAATAAAAAAAACTGAATCAGTTTTTTAGAGTTATATACTACAAATCACAGATAACGTTTTAGAAAAGAAGATATCAGAATTATATCTTTGCTACAAACTCCTCCCTAACTAGCATGAATACGTCCCAAATCCAAATATCTGAACTTAATGGAGAGAAATAAAGAAGAAAAATAAATGCTGAGCGTGTGCATGCATTGCCATATGCAAACACACATGTGCATACTATCTCTGGAAATCATGGATTCTTCCACACAAAAAAAGATCTAGATTATAACATTTATTCATAGTCACTGAATGTTGTATGTGATTGGGAGTAGGGAATTGTTCAGGTGGCTATAGAATTGTTCCTGAGTTGAAGTTTACTACTTTTAGAGAATAGCATAAAACAGTCAGGTTTACATGTTAATTTCTGTGAGTGAGGCCATGATATAATAGGAGATACAAGAAAGGAGAATCATGCAGGCTGTTAGAGCAGTAAAGACTTCATGGATGGGATGTGAATGCACTTCTAAGAAATGTGCAGGGAGTTGTGAGGATGCAGGACACAGATGCAGAATAAATTGCTCACCAATCTATATAAACACATCTCTTTTGCATTCTGCCACTTCCTAGACTTCAATATTTTGCTTTATCAACTCTTTTATAGTTTAAGTCCATTCCATCCAGCACACATTTATGGACAGTGTACTCTGATTCTAGTATTTTCTCTTGGGACACAGAAAATAAATTATTGGAAGACCTCATCCTAGTCCTTGAAAGGTTTACTCTTCAGTGAGTGAACCAGAAGCAGGAAGCAAAGAACTCCATTCAGGTAATTCTGATAACAGCCTTAAGTTATACTACCACTCCCAGTATGAGTACGTAGGCATATTAGTTAGAAATATGACGTGTTTTCCAATTTATTATAAACAGAAAAAATTATCACTGTATGTTGCTCAATAGGGTTTACAAAATATTTTCAAATACATTATCTCATCTAAACTCCATGAAGACAGGCATCTTTTGTTTACCAGTGCATCCCACATGCTTAAAATTCTACCTGGCATAGGGTAGCCTTCAACAAATGTATACTAATTTAATTTAATTCTCAGAGCCACCGCATTTTACAGAAGAGGAAGTAATATTGGACTTTCCCCTTCTGAAACATTCAGCATCCTCCAGGATAGATACCAGGTTGGCAAAAGTGTCCTATTCTGTGCAGCTCAAAGGCTATTCATTCTGCAAGATCTCTAAGACAAACACATTGGTCTATTTGTATGCACTATGCTCCTACTCACCCAGCACTTGCACAACTCCTGGATGAGGTTTTAGAGCCACCTGGTGATCAGTTGAGTGACACCCTTAATCTAGCACCCTGGCTATTAAAGGAAGTAATTGTAGAACTGAAAGTACTGCAATTGTCCTTTTGGTCTGCAGGTGGAAGCAGCCTTGCATTTTCAGTTGAGCAGGATAGCAAAATGTTTTTGTGTTAATTCTGTTGTTTCCATGAATGTCACAAAATGTTCCCGCCGTATTCATTATGATAATATGGGTTCTTAGAAGGAGTAAACTGACTTATTCCATATCTTATAGTCTTCTCACTCCCTTTGAAATTTCTGGTGCTCATTGGAAAAATCTAGACAATCAAATCAGTTGCTGTTCTCAAAGGCCATGCTAGCTAGAACTAATGTAAAATAAATCGGTGGTTAAAATCTTGAACCTCAGAGTCAGGCAGACCAGAGTTTAGGCTAAGCCTATTTACATATGACAGATCTTGAGCAAGATACTTAACATTTCTGAGGCTGCCTTCTGGTCAATAAAATGAGAATTATGAATTCTGTCCCATAAAATGGTGGTGAAAAATGAATAACATTTGTAAAGGTCTTAATGCGGGGCATAGAACCTCATAAATAAGCAATGAATTGTAGCTAGTATAATTTTTCTGTTACAAGTTTGCTGTTTTACATATGTGTCATGCATATACATATTTTGGTATATACATATATGTATGTGTGTGTATGTGTATCTGCATCTATCTATCCGTCTATATCTATATAAAAAACAACTTAGTAAATTGAAAACACAGGAAAGAAAAAGTGTAATCATAAAACAATTTTATTTTTGTCTCCTATGGTGTCTTCAAATCCATTTGGTCTGCGCCTATTCTTCCCCTGACTCTTGAATAAAATATAGGGCAAGTTCTATGACATTTATGTCATTTTCAGGTAATATTTCAGAAAATATAAAGTTTTTTAGTCATTTCAAAGCACAGAGATACAGCTTCTTTCCAGTGATATAAATATCTGTACATCTGTACACCTGTACACAGGACAATCTCTTTGCAGTCACTCCTCCATCACACAGTCATCCTCCATCATGCAGGCAATGTGCCTGCTACCACTTCTGTTCCTTAGATTTCTTATGCTTGAGAAGTGTAGTAGTTTACCTTGTTTCTCTAGATCCAGGGAGCAAGTACCAAGTGTTCAGAGTAGATGAATTGAAGCCTTGTTCTTTCTGCTTAACATGAGATTCAAGAACTCCCAGTGTCTGCCTCCTCAATCAGGACATAAAAGTGGAACTCGGTACATATCAATAGCTCCCTCCAAAAATTATCTCTTAATCTTGAACTCCTTTCTTGGAGTTAATTTTATTTGGTTGTTTGTTTT